GGGCCCAAACAAAAAAAAAGATACTGGTCCGTACGCAAAGGACGATACTAGAAAGCAGTATGGCGAGTAGGTAGAGAATAACAAAGAGGCTGACTTAGCAGTAGCCTAGAATTTTACTACGTAGAAAACATGTTACACACACCAGTTCTTACTGGCTGATCAGCTTTCAAAACTTGCTAGTCAAGCCAGCAAAGGCTGAGGAAATGCTTGCTCTTGTCTATGCTTTCCGTTTCTGCAGCATATTCAACTCCGTCTTGAAAAAAATACCCCCGCAAAATTTGTAGGTTTGCTGAAAACTACCGTTTAGTCAGCCGCACAAACATAGTGAATGAAATGATGGAATGGATATTTGGGACGGCTTTTGGTACCCCTTGGGAGGGCACAAACGTCAGGAAAACAAGAATCTAATGGCCTATGCACATTGGAAAACCCCATGAATATACGCATTCCTCTACTTACTAATCCTCAGACATTTGAAAGAATAGGATGCATTTATTACTAGTAACTCTTTGATGAATAAAGCGTGTGTAGTGAGTTGTTACCACCTATACTTGTGGATGTGAATCAGGACACAGAATAGGGCCGGATAAAATGATGTTAAATAACGAGATAAAAAAATTTCCAGTTATGAACGGCTATGTGGAAGGTGATTTCATAAGTTGACAGACGTATTATAGACTGCTCAGAAGCAGTAAACAGAATTAACGATTTTCAGGTAACAGGAACTTTTGCGGAGGCGATCAACAATGCAAATAACCTGAGTTATCGACCGTTGTCTACAAGTCTGTGATATGGTTGCCACTTCCTCCTTTCTAGATCAGTTAGTTGTCAGATGTCATTCTCAAGAGCTATTTTATGACCGGAGACATCAAGTTTTTAGGTAAGATGTGTCACCGTTATAGTTTCTGAAGGACTTGACCAACGAGAGCTTGCAGTGAATGTGCAGAAATCGCAATTGCTTGAAACTAACCCAGGGTTAGAGTTAGGATTGAGTCATCCTCGTATCAAATGACGCATTTGTCCTGGAAACGGAATACGCCCTTAATCTAGGAAGTCCCTGTATGATAGAATACTTCACAACTACTGTCGAGTTTTGAAAGCTGCGTGTACTATATTCTATGTTCGCTTAAGCACAACTAAAATGGCATTCACTGGTGCAGTTCTTTTACTCCCTACATGGCATTGAGGTTTTGGAAAAGATGAAGAAGCGTAACACTCGAGGAGAAAGTTGGATATGTCCTAATTTGACGTTCTGCAACAGAAACGAAAGAACACGATTCCGATATAAATTTAGTTAGTTAAGGAAAGAAATGGTGTGGAATGCGATCTCATCATAAAGAATACCTCAAAATATTGCTTAGACTTCAGCTAATTGCACAGTTTTGATAGTGGTTTTTGCAGCGTGAAATCAGGTCATCGGTAAGGTGATCCCAGATATTATGAGCAGATTACTTCATAGGCATCTTGTGAAAGATGAGGTGACCCAGTAGAGTAAAAACTAGCAGAGGTGGGTAATAAGTACAATGTTTAAGTACTGGGCGGTAATAAAGATAGAGCATTCTATTCCCCAAACGTTGCATACGGCCGTTTTGGTTACTTTAAGGAAAAAGCTGCCCCTTTTCACCGGCCTTTCACTTTTCCGATCACCCCTCACTAGCATTTTACTGCAGTTGAAGTGTCAGCGCTCCTTTCTAATTATTTTAATCTCTACAAGACGTTCACTTGCTAGTTGCCCTGCCTCCAATACTCAGTTTTTAGGTTTCTACTGAGTGCGCTAGTACTTAGTATCGTTAAGACGCCGGTTTTTATTACAGAAAACAAACAAGAAAATAAAAGTGCATCTTTGATTCACACTAAAGCACGAGCTTTCGCGTTCGTCTGACAGAAAACGTATAAAATAAACGTATGTATACAAAAGATGTATGTAAAAAGAAGCTCAAAGAAGAAACCATTTCGAGGAAATAGTAATAGTAAGTTTGAACTAACCTGCCTTTGTTTCGCATTTTAATACGGGCTTCGAGGGGCATTTCTTCTTCTTCACTCTAGAAGAGTAACTAGACACAAGTGACTTTGCTTACCTCTTCGTCAGCATCAAAGACTTTTTTTACAACACTGCTTACTGGGACGACCTTTATCTCTGGCTCTAACACGGGCTTCTTTGGAAGGGCAGCAATAAAGCCTACTGTGCAAAATTATGCACAAACCTGTGTGGGCAAAGTAATACAAATTTTGCCCTTTCTTGAGGGAGGTTTGTTGACGGAAATAGCAAAGGTAGATGGTGGTGGCGCAGCTTTTTTCGGAGGTGGTGCATCTGATGCGGTGGCGACAGGAGACAAACGAACAGAATCGCTTTTAGCGACGTCTGTCTCATTCGTGGAAGTCCGCTTTAAGGGGGAAATCCGTTTAACGGACGCCGCCTCCTTGGCGTAGGAAGAGGTTTCGCTGGCGCTCATAAGGTGATAAACCTATTTACTGGAGGTAAAGTAAACAATTTTAAACAGTATCAAATATTTGGCACGCAGTAAGATAAATTAAACACGATAAAAGAACGATAGATCCCTAAAATAAGTATATGCACGATGACAGAATATGGATTCTTGATAGCGAAATCTCACGCTCGTGTATAAGACTAGTTCCAACAAGAAATACACCCCAACAAAGCGGACGGGTATGTAATATGGTCTCTAAGCGTACGTCCCTTAAGGGTGCAAAGGAAGACATAGGCCGGGGAGTAAGCAGCACATGTTTGGACTTACGGACTGGGAGTATCATTTAATGGTGTGGCTGGTTTGTCTAACTAGGATCGGCTACATAGCACCGAATGCAATGCCGTTGCCGGCTGACGCTAATTTTGCGCTGCCCATGGACACAGTAAGCATCGGTTTTGCTATTGGGGGGTGGACAATGATATGCTCTTTATGTCTACTGGTCAGATAGATAAGTGAAATGAAGCCAGAAGAAAGACTTAAAAGCAGTAAGCAAACCTGCTAGTTCTATAACGGGCGGTGACGCGCTCTGGGGAGCGTGGAAAGGTGAAATGAAAAGTGAACAGAAAAGACTGGTTCCTTACAAAATATGAAACACAATGACCAAAAATATAGTCTTGATCACCTTCGACAAACAAACATTTAGGTCAAATAGGTCACACCAGAGTCCGGAAGGGACGTTACTAGTAGAAATTCCGGTATTCAAATAGGAACTCTGTATTTATTATATTCTTATTCATGCGTTGTCACCTGTACTGTTTAACAATAGACCGTTTAAGACCATACGTATTAACCATCAAAGAAATGCTGACCAGTCTGTTAATATATAACCTCCGTATTTTGCAGTATTCCAATTATTATGCTACTATATTTGCATAAGTCTCGTATATGGAGGAGACTGTGGTCATTTAATGAATACTTCCACAAGCTGGATTAGGATCTACGGGAATGGCTGTAGTTCTCAAATACAAATAATCCCACCACGGGTAAAGTCAGGTTGAAGAAAAGCGTGGAAATTGTCTGAAAATCCAGATACTGATGAGTACGTTGCTGCTTAACTGTGGATGGCGATAAAAGAGTGAATACTACTAAATCTTCGCTTGGGTTATCTCAAGATAACACCTTAATGTCGAGCAAAGATATAAAATTGAGTGACTTTATTAATGCAGCTAACTCAGTGGAAATACATGACAACTTAGGCAAGTTAATGAGCTAAAATTCGAAAATAGAACAAATATGTAATCAAACGGGGTAGAGGTCCCACGCTCAAAATTGCCCAAATGCATGAAACGCGCATAAATGTATTCTAAGTAGTCACATT